AATAAATGAATTAATTTGGAATATTTTAGCATGGTTTATTACAAATCTTCAATCATTATGGGCATATCAAAGGACATTTCTACCGCCCAAATGCTAGCTGGGCATATATTACTTATGGTACATATCTTGAAGCAGAAAATGCCATAAAAGATTTACATAATAAATCACCATTGCATTTGCAAATATCATTTGCAAAAGAAAAAGGCTCCAGTGAAGTAGCAACAGTGAAGACATCAGCTTTTAAAAATGTTGCACAACAATCTGAAAATCACAATGTAACAGCTGTTACATTTGCAAATAAGTCATTGTAAGTATATATTTTTATATTGCAGAATAACAGAAAAAAAAGATTTATTTATAAATATGTACAAAATACAAACCAGAGGACCAGGCAAGCCCTTAAATGTATTTAAAGGGATTGAACCAAATCCCACATTACCACAATACATATGCATAGAAGATGATGATTTATTATATCCATATCCTTCTGATGCACATACATATAATCCATATGAAAATGCAGAACCTTATGCAAGTACAAATACATTATGGACAAGGTACTATTAGAAATTCATATGAAATGTATATAGGGTGTATATGTACAATAATTTTTTTGAAAACATTTCAGAGGAAAATTAACTGTTACTCCAGATGGTAAAAGACATGTTTCTCTTGGCCGTGGATATACTATGTATGATATCCCATATCCAGATCCTGAAGTTCACAGTTACATTAGTAGCGTGTATGAGAAACGTAACTCTGTAAGAAAATTATTGAACAATAGAAAAAATATTTACTTTTTAATAATATTTTAATAATGTGTAATTTAATAGGATTCATATGAATATGGTGAAGATATGTTACAAAGTGCAGTTAAAGTATGTAAATTATGCTCAAAGAAGACAAAATTTGCTTGTGAAAGGTGTTACTATACATTTTATTGTAGTAAAGATTGTCTAGTAAAAGATTGGCCTCGACATAAGGTTGAATGTGAAGCAATTCCGTATGTATTCTCTTCTAGTATTATATATTGCAGTCCATAAGTTTTGTGTATACCTTCTCAAATCTTTTTATTATTAGATCTTTAGTAATGGCTATGCAATCTAGACCTACACCACAGTCAAATACTAGAGAGCAAACATCTATCAAAAGTATTTCTAACGTACAAATACCACTTCGACGACCGAAAAAGTTTACGATTAAAATGTCAACTGAAGATGAAATTATTGATGCTGTTTTAGAAGATCAAACTATAAATGATGTATCTGGAACAGTTTGTAATAACAATGCAAATAATAATAGCTCGGAATATTTACATACTGAAACCAGTATTCAACATATTAAGCATACAGAAAATAAAATAGACAAAATAAGAATACCTGAGAAAAATCATTCTTCTTTACCTGAAAAACCACTTCAGAGAGAAATTCAAAATCAGAATGCTATTAGCGATTCAAAAGACTTAGACAGTCATAAGAAATGGCAAAAGTTTCATACTGACAATGTACAAAAGATAGAAGACGATATATCTTTTTCCAAACATACATTCTTATCTACATCAGAATTTAAAGATGTAAGAATAGTCATAAAGGAAAATCGTGACTTTTGGGTTCAGAAAGTAGAAGACGAATTTGAAATTATGGAGCTAATGAGTAATCTACAAAAGGATGCAGATAAAGCACAAATAGTGGAACCAATAAATAGAAATGTGTATGCTGTAAAATTTGAAAATATATGGCATAGAGCTTTAATTACATCTTTATTTCCTACAAAAATACATTACATAGACTTTGGTAATGATGAAACCGTTTTATCAACGGAAGAGTTTCGTGAAATTAATAAATATAAAAACATTCCACGATTTAGTGCTAAAATTCGTTTATCGGATGCAGCATACGAAAAATATAAAGATCTTAAATATGATAATGTAATAAGTGTAAAAATGATATCGATTGATTCCAATGAAGTAATCAATGTTGAAGTTAAAGATGAAAATAATAAATCAATGCCGAAAGTAACTCAGATAAATAATAATCCAATACCACAGATTCCAAATACTTCGAAAGCTAATGATGAGCCTTTGGTTACTTCAAAGACATCTATTAATAATAATATATCAAATACCTTTAATAAATTAAAAAGTATAATAAGTACTTTGACTGTTGGAAAAACAGGTTTTCTAGAATTTGGGGCAGAACTAAAGAACAATACTTATAGAACAATACTAATGCCAAATGATGCAGCACCTGATTATGAAAAATTACAGGTTCATTTATCTACAATTTGTTCCCAAATGACAAAACATACAAATCATAGGTAAATACTTATAATATGTAATTAGATCTATAAGTAAAATTTTCAATATAACTTATAAAGTTTTCAATTCCTAGTCCAAATATTGGAGATATAATATGTGGTCTAATAGCTAACCAGTGGTATAGGGGATGTGTTTTATCTCTTGAACCCTCTTTAAAAATGGCTCTAATAGATGGATCCAATGTACAGACAGTTGATAAAACCCTACCATGTCCTGAAAATTTTTTGGATATTTGTACATTTGGAGCAATATGTGAAGTAATTGATGCTAAATATAAATTCAGTGTAAGCTGGAATATCTAATGTAGTGTAGCATATATGTTATATCTTATTCATTTCTAATATTCTAATTCTAATTTATAGACATATGATTCACATAAGTTTAAAGTGATAACACAAAATGTTAATAAGGAACAAGATAAAATTGAAATAGAAATTATTAAAGGAAAAGATAAATTGAAAGCATTTGTAAAACCTTGGATACCAATGCCTGAACAAACAGGAATACAATATGCAGAATTAAAAAATGGATCTGAGGTATGAACAATAATTTTGATTTAAATAAGAAAAGTAGTTGTTACTTTCATTTCAATGTAAATTTTATCATAAATATTAAATATTTTTTAAATAAATGAGAATTATGTTTGTAGGTATGCATTATGGCCTATCGAAGTCATACTCTCTTATTTGTTCGTTCCTTAGATACTGCCGAGTTAGAACATTATAATAGTGTTATGCAAAAAGTTGCAAAGTGTGCTCAAACTTGTATGTAAAACAGTTTATAATATAATAAGAATTAAAATAACATTTGATAATAATCTGAATAAAATAAAGCATTGTCTGTTCATACTAGCTGCATTTTTAGAAGAACCACCAGTTGTTGGACAAATGGTAATAGCTAAATATGATGATACGAATTACTATCGTGCGATTGTTACTAAAATAGAGGACGATAAAATTGCAATTACATACGTTGATTTTGGTAATACAGAATTTACAAATATAAAGAAACTTAAATCTTTAACTGATGATTTAAAACAGGTACGTTATCATTTAACATATGCATCATAATACAATATAATTCACAAATACTAATATCTAATACTTTAAAAGCTCCACAGTTGTATAACAAAGGTCACTCTAAATGATGTACCCGAAGACGTTCCTATGACAAAAGATGTAAGTGATTATCTTAGTCACTTAGTAGGAACTGAAGTTCGTTTAACGTGTACATTTAACGGTATACATTCTAAAGATGGTGTACATCTTAAACTTCATACTGGAGAAAGTGTTAATAAAAAAATAAGTGAATTACTTGTACCTACATCAAAGAAATCTGCTGAGGAAGGTAATTATTGAAAGTTATGTATTAAATACTTTCATTGAATAATATAATTTAAACTAATATTAAAATTAATGACTTCCCTTACAGACAAAACGTGTTATTTGTTAAATGATATAAGTTCTGCACGCTTAGGAAATAATGGCGATATTATTACAGCAGTTATACTGTATTGTCTTGGTGATTATATGTATGCAATGTGTCCATTAGATTATGATATGATGTATCACGTTTTTAATACATTGTCAGAAAAGGTAACCTGTATTTTCGCAAAATTACATTATGCTTTACTATACATAAATATAAGCATGCATAAACATATACATTTTATTGTTCTTAAAGATAAATGCATATTGTAAAACAAGTGATCATTACATTCCCCGTGAGGAAGAGCTTTGTCTTGCTCTCTACAAAGATGGATGGTATCGCGCTGCTTGTGTATGTCGTAGTTCTACACCTACAACAAGCTCCCTTTTTTTCATTGATTATGGTAATACCGAGGATATTAATCATAAAGATATACGACTGATGCCAAGGGAATTTATTACAGCCCCTGCAGTTGCAAGTATTTGTAATATTATTAGTAAGTATAGTATTTATTGTTCCGTACTTGTTATTTAATTAGTAGTTACTCTAAATTATGTGATTTTATAGATGCAGCTGATCACGATGGGCATCGTTCTCCTAAAATAAAAGAAATTTTAGAGCAAGAAGCTACAGGGTCAATTGATAGTGTTCCTGTTACAATAAAAATTGTCAATTATGATTTGGAATCAGGAATGTACAAGGTGGAGCTACACGACTAATTCAAACTGTATTATGCAGAGAGTTTATCAGAAACATGGAAAATATAGTTATAATTATGTACTTTAAATTTATCCACTATGAAAAAGGTTTTTTTTTTTTTAATTAAGACAGTTTAGTTATCCTTTTAAAAATATTTTTACACCTGTGAACTAGCTCTTTTTTTCATTTAACTATCGAATATCCTGCTGTTCATTAAATAAATATTTATTTTGTAATTTTAATTTTGTAACAACAATTAAATTTATTATTTCACAATTTTATAAAATTACTTT